CGCCGCCGCCGCGCTGGCGCCCCCCAGCAGCAGCCCCTGCTCGGACTGGGAGCTCACATCCTCGTACTCCACCAGCGGGGTTACACCCCCGCCGCTACTCGCACCGCCACCGCCGTCCTGCTGCGGCTGGGGCAGCGAGAAGACCCGGCGCTTCTCCGCCTCCTGCCCGGCGCGGGGCCCGCGGCGCCGCTTCTGCCGCCCTCCTGCGCGCCTCTTGCCTCTGGCCAGCCGCTTGACCTCCAGAGGGGGGCCCGGGCTGAAGCAAGAGGAGGAGGCGGCGGCGGCGGCGGCTGCGGCTGCGGCCGTGCCGGGAGTAGCCAGGAAGAGCAGAGGCGGCGGGGGCGGCGGCGGTTGCAGGAGCTGCGGCTGAAGGAGCGGCAGCAGCAGCGGCGGCTGCTGAGGGGACAGGAATCGCCTCCGCTTGCGGCGTTCCTCCAACTTCTTCTCGGCCCAGCTCAGCCCCCCGCCTCCCCCCAGCGCCGTGTCCGAGCTGCTCGGCATCGCCTAGGGCCCGCCGCAGACAGCGGCGAGGGTGCGGCCTCGTCCCGGGTCAGATCCTGGCCATCTCCCCCGCCGGAAACGCGAGCAGCGGCGGAACACGGAGCACCGGGGCCGGCGGGCCGACGCGCCACGATAATCCGGGTCGGGACTCGGGTCCCTGGGTTCCAGGTCACAGTGGGATACGCAGCGGCCTCCGGGCCCGAGGAGACCGGAGATCCGGGCGACTTAGCTCCTCCCCACACACACACACCGCGATCACGGTCCTCGGTGCGGCGGCAGCGGCGCCCGAGGCGCCGGGTTGACCTGCGGGGGAGTGCGGACTCCTCCAAGTGCCCCCGGGGTGGGGGGGTGCGGTCTCGGCCGCGCTCGCCGCTCGGGCTGGCAGGGCGGGCAGCGCAACGCGGAAGTACCACCTTCGTCGCCGCTTCACTCCATTGCGCCTGACGTTGGGGGCGAGTTCAGGGGAGGGGAGCGGGCGAAACAACAACACGCCTCCGCCGCCTCGGCTTCTCGATCGACGTCGTCCTCTTGTGATGGTGGCGGCGACACACAGCGGGCGCCTCGGAAGTGACCCGGGCCTGACAACAACTCCTGGCCTAAGGCCTCGCGCACTCGGCGGCCCGCGACACCGGACGGCGGGGCGGGGCGGCGCGACGTGAGGCGGAGGCGACCGCGCTGCAGTTCGCGGTTGGGGCAGCCAGTGTGCGGGTCTAGGCGGAGGGCTGTTTCCGGGGAGATGGGGGCGGGGGCGTTTCTGAGTCTATGGCGTTGGGTGCGGGATCTGACTTTCTTCTTCCTTAGCCGCAGATGACGGTGCTACCCAGGTGACGGAGCTACCCTCTTCCACAGCTTTCTCCCCCAGCCCCCTCCACGAGGAGGCTCCCGATGTACGCGGCCTGCCGGGCTCGCTCCTCCCCTTCCCTCCTCTCCTCGTCTGGAAGAGGACGGGCGATGGAACCTGCTGGTTGGACCCTAGCCTCAAGAGCCCCTCCTTCTCGCTTGGCTCTTTCGGCCTTTCCCCCTCGGCCCTGACGCTAGCCTGGGGACGCGCGCGCACGCACGTCACGCTCTGAGAACGCCGAAGGGGAGTGGTGGAAGGATCGAGGAGGCGGGAACATTGTTGCCGCGCAATAGCGAGCTCGCTCCCGCCAGCGGGCGCTCCTTTCGTTCCGGAAGTAGTATGACGTAAGGATCCGCTTCCGGCGAGGGTGGGAGTATGTGTGAAGGAGGATTAAAGAAAGGAGAAGGCTTCACGCAGAGCTGTCGCCCTACGCTCTATTCTATCTACTTCCTAGTTACGCTTGTTGCTATTGTCTGGCGCCCAGTTCCCCACCTGGGTGCTCTCCAGGCGCCGAACCACGTGCATGTTTAGTAAAAGGTCAGGCCTAAAGCAAAAATTCATAAAGTCTGCAAAAAGAATAATGCCCTAAGTGGCCCTGGGCGTCGGCCATCAGCTGAGGCCTGGCATTGGAAAGGCTGCAGGAGGAGGAGCAGCAGGGACGACGACACTCCGCTAAAAAGAGCAGAGGTCACAAGGGCTGACTCTGTCTCACATAAATACATTTATGACCCTAAAAAAATCACTTGGAAATTTCCATCCCAAACTTCTCTTCAATAATACAGAACGTTGCCATTTAAAACAATCGGGGGACTAAATCAAGATATATTTATCACGAGATATTGAAATTCCCAGCCTTATAGTGGGGTGCGATGAAAGCCAAGCAACTTGCTTGAATAATGGCATTTCACCCTACCTTACATAAAACTCTTGGGATGGTAAAATATTTTCTGATTTCACATCTCTTCCCTGACCAGGATTATCTTTTAATAATGAACAGAACACTCAAGATAATGACATTCTAACTGGGTTATTGGTTTTTAAAGCAGTCCGTTCAAAGATTACATATAGTCACCCGTTTACGTTTATCCAGACTATCTGTTGATTTTCTTAAACATTGGCATCGATCCATCATCATATCCGTTGTTACGTGTCATACGGCGGACATCAATTTCTAGTAACCCTGTGGACAACATTAAGAAACAACCCTCATCAAACCTCATCTTCGCAATCTTTGCACTACTTCAGCCATTGCTGGTGGTGGTACAGCTTCAAGCCATCATCTTAAAGAGTGTTTCTCTTTTTTTCACAGACCTTCTATGTTTCCGAGCATTTTTCCTTCTCGAAAGGCTGGCCCTTCCTAACATCTCCAAAGTTCGTGAGATGAAATCTCACCATCCTTGCTACTGACGATCACTTAGCACCTCATTTATTCTTTTGGCACTTCATGGTATATTCAGTATTCTTCAGCAACATCACATAACAAAGACCTCAGTGAGTTTGTATCTAAGTGTAAATAATTTTAACCAGTTTAAACCAGTTTAACATCCATGAGCACTATCTAGGGAGCTCGGGTAGTGTAGTTATAAGGAGCTGCACTGCCAAACCAAAGGCACACAGTTCAAATCCGCCAGCTATTCCTGAAAAATCTCCTCCAAGGCAATTTACAGCCTCTGAATGCCCAAAGGAATATCAGCTATGGATCGGTTCTGTATTCAGAGTATATTCCAGGCACTGTCTTTATTTTACTCTAGAATACAGAAAAGAACTAAGAACTATGTCTAAGCAAGAAATACTACAAAAGATAAGCAAAAGGCCATTTGTTCAAAATAATGGATTCATCTAATATTGTCACATGTTTTACATTCCTGTTTTGTGTTTGTTGTTGTTGTTGTATGTGCCTTCCTGTCAGTCGCTTGGGACTCATAGCGACCCTATGTACAACAGCCCTAAACTCCGCTCTGTCCTGTGACAATCGCACCATCTCCAATACACCCATCCCAATTGCCCTAGTCACTGAATCAATCCACCTCATAGAGGGCCTTCCCCTCCTGCACTGTCCCTCCACCCTACCAAGCTTGATGTCCCTCTCCAAGGACCTGTCCCTCCTTACAACATGTCCAAAGTATGTTAGATGGAGCCTGAGAATCCTTGCCTCCCAGGATCAGCCCAGTTTGACCCTTTCCAGGATGAATCTGTTTGTTTTCCTAGCAGTCCATGGTACCCTCAATACTCTTCTCCAGCACCACAGCTCAAAGGCATCAATTCTCCTTCTATCCTCCTTAGTCATTGTCCAACTCTCTGATGCATAACAAGTGATTGCAAAGACCATGGCCTGTATCAGACGCACCTTGGTCTCCAGAGAAACACCATTGCTCTTGGAACTTTGAATTCATTCCTCAACTGGAGGGAGGGGGAAACCTGTATGCATGCGCACACAGGTGCGCATGCACACACACATTTTGGATTTGATTACTGTATTTTTGTTGTTGCTAGATGCTGTTGGGTCAAGTGCAACTTAAGAACATCAGATCTGAACACTGCCGCATCCTGTGCCATCTTTATTCTATTTACTACGCTAGAGCCCATTGTTATAGTTATTGTGTCAGTCCACCTCATTGAAGGTCATGTGATCCTTTACTGACCCTTTACTTCTCAGAACATGTCTTTCTCCAAGAACGGGCCCTGCCCAACAACATACCTAAAGCATGTGATAGGAAATTTCACCATTCTCTCTAAAGAGCAACCTGGTTGCAAGTGTTCCTCCTCTTGGCAATCCATGGAATATGTAGTGTTCTTCTCCAGCACCATCGGCTCAAAGGCATTAATTCTTCTTCTGCTATGTTTATTCACTGCCTAACTCAGATGCATAGCAAGAAATTGAAAAGATAATGGCTTGGATCAAGTGCATCTTAGTCTTTAAATTGTAATCATTGCTCTTCAGGACTTTGGTGAATTTTCCAATTGCAGACTTTCCGTTCCCAATGCAACACACTTCTTTATTTCCTGACCACTGATATGAAGATTGTTAATTGTGGAGCCACATAAGAGTAATAAACTTCTGACTTTTCTCCATTTATGATGATGTTGCCTGTTAGTCCAGTGGTCAAGATTTTTGTTGTTGACATGTAATCCATACTGAAGGCTGTACTCCTTGACCTGTAGCAGCCAGCACTTCAAGTCCTTCTCACTTTCAGCCATCAAGGTTGTGTTATTTGCATAATGAAAGTTGTTGAAGAATCTTTCTCTGATGCCTCATTCTTCATAAAGTCTTACTTCCTGAATGATTTGTTCAGCATAGAGATGAAACAGCTATGCAGAAAGAATACAGCCCTGACACCCATCTTTCTTCTTCTTCCTTTTTTAATTCCACAGCACATGGGAGATTTATTCACCTAGTGCAGCTCCAGTACAGATTGGCTCCGAGGAACTTCACTTCAGTATGCTTTCGTCTTGGGCTTCTGCCAGTTCTCTGGTGATCCACTTCAGTTCATCCTGCTGCTGCTTCTCCTCGGCTGCCATCCTCCTTTCCTCTTAGGCCCGCGGTTTCAGGTGTAGAGAGCTTGGCTCTCCATAGGCCATGCCGAGGAAGAGCGCGGAGTAGCGGTGGAGCTTGATGAGCGGAGAGACCTGAACCAGGGACACCATTTTGTCCCTGACCTTCATTGTATTGCTCTGTTTGGAAAGCAACTTCCTGGTCAAAGGATAGGTTTCACGTGAGCACAATTAAGTGTTCTGGGATTCACATTCTTCTCAGTGTTTACCATAATTTGTTATGATCTACACAATCAAATGCCTTCGCATAGTCAATAAAACACAAATAGACATCTTTCTGATGGTCCACACTTTGATCCAAGATCCATACAATATCAATAATGATATCCCTAGTGCCATGTTATTGTTGTTGTTATGTGCCGTCAAGTCGCTTGCGACTCATAGCGACCCTATGTACAACATCCCTAAACTCTGCTATGTCCTGTGCCAATCGCACTATCTCCAATACACCCATCCCAATTACTCCAGTCACCGAATCAATCCACCTCATAGGGGGCCTTCCCCTTCTGCGCTGTCCCTCCAACCTACCAAGCATTATGTCCCTCTCCAAGGACCTGTCCCTCCTTGCAACATGTCCAAAGTATGTTAGGAGGAGCCTTAGAATCCT